GCCAACTTGCCGACTAAAACCGACTACTCGCTGACCACAAGCGTACACCAAGCTGGTGATGTAGGTGTAGTTCACACAATTCATGCCACAACAGGAGAGAATAGTCAGTTCACGTTTTAATATGGTTTCCCCTTACTGTCTGGATGTACGTAGATCTGATTGGACAAAATGGTTTTAATTGTGCAGTGTGGTGTGAAGCAGGAGACACATGCAGAGATCGCATTAGTATCGCAACTTTTTCTAACCATTGTTGACGGTTTTCATCACGAAATTGTTTTGTCCTGGCTTTAATCTTTGCAACTTTGCCAAGGAATTTGCCGGTTACGCAGAAGTGATAACGACCACTCTCAATAAGTTGCAGCAATTCAAGCATACTGAATGGTGAGGAAATTGAGATTTGAACATGTGTAAGTTCGGAGGCATCTACCTCGCCTTCTCAAAACTAACGAATGTGTAAGCCCAAATTTTTAGGGAATCACTACACCTCACACTACTCCTAACACCTCGCAGTTTCTTTCTACTTCCTTAATATACCAAAACTTTCCCCATCAACCCACTTCTGCCACAAAACCTTCCCTTCCTTATACTTTCTACTTCTTGCCCTTCAGCTCACCCTACCTCCCATCTCTTCCCTTTCCAAATCCTCGTCTACCAGTAGTCTCCACTTCCGACTTCTCATCTTCCTCACAACCACGAAAGCTCATTTAATCATTTCTACTGAATTAATCTCAGTAGCAACCTGACTCATGTAGGAGGAAATGCACTTCATTGCCTCAGTGCCTTCAGTGCCACAGAGGCTTATGTTCACCGGGCACCAAAGTAATTTGCGATTGGCCCTTCCACTTCTTCGCCATCCTTCCTTCCATTAGGCTACGTGAGTTGTAGCTGCAAGGCAAAGGGAGGTTCGACCACTTCTTCTCATGTAATTCAACCCCTATTAGTTAAATACTTTCGTTTGTTGATGTTTTGATTATCTGCTCGTCTGAGCCATTTCTTGGCGGTGCAGTGGGGCTTCAGTTACTCGTGGGCTACCATTTTCGCTACTGCGTAGAGGCACTTACTACGTAGCTGCATAAAATCACGCATTGAGCAAAGCATGGTGAGGCTGATCACTGCAAATCGCAATGGGGATTCAGTGACGTGCATCAGTTGAAATGCATGATTTACATGGGCGAACGCGACTACATGTGTGCACGACAGTGACCTAAGGGTGGTGGCACTCTTCTGTCCGTTGGCGCAAAACATCTTCACTTCCATCCATGTGCAGCATCTCTCTTGTCCAAGTAAGCAGTAATTCTCACCATGAATCATCCAAAATCCTCACGCTGCTTCTGTGAACCCATGTTAAGAATGTTCAACTTTGCCAAAATTAATGCTAACAGTGTTCTGCTCAATTTATGATAACTCAACGAGGTGAGGCGGTGTAAATCTTGAGAGTAGGAGGTAAATTTTAATGCGATGCCACGATCATGGCTGCACGGCATTATCCATTTGGTTCGGAAACACGAGGGCATTGCTACAGCCCAATTGTCTTCTGAGTATTCGCTGATGGCAAGAAAGGAAAGAGGATTACACGAGGTGGTGCTGAAATTGGAACGACTGCGTGAGAAGTGCATTCACAAGGCTGATGTGTCAGTCAGGGATAAGATAGCAAGTGTACTCACAAAGGAAAAAAAGTCACCACACAGGGAAATCCATGCTTGGCACGTCATCAGCTACCACAAATTGGTATTTACGGGTAGCGAAAGTGACTGTGTTGATGGTAAATGCACAACCGAGGCTAAATCCTAATATTTGCGGGAAGAGCGCAAATACAAACACCTCTTACATAGAGTGGATGCCGACAATTAGCAGCACATTGTGCAATAACTACCCACAAGCACACCACCTGCAAACTTCAGGCTAATTCCTATGTGTCGCCGAATAATTGGTGCGACAAACACTATAATTCACCACTGAATTTTTAAACGGCATTTTACGGAAAACACTATGCAGCCTTTGCGAGAATTACGTTTGTTTCTCGAAATGCTAACTAGCAGGAGTTAGCGTCAACACTGATGGAGGCGATTGGTAGTGGCGTGCGTGCCATATAGGAAATGTTGCTTACATGTATTTTGCACGTTGCATGTCTATGCTGATTGCTGTACATTTGAATACATCTACAGCACTGCTGTCGTCTGCTTGAGAGCGTGACCTACGAGTGCACCACGCGCGCTGGCTGTGAACTGATGCGCACACGATTTGGGAAGATTTTGACCTTGAAAGAAAGCGTTAATCGGCACAACTTGTGTGTTCAGAGGAAGGGGAAGGCAAACATGCTTCCTTTCATGTCTGTGTGGGGCGAGGAGCGTGACCACCTTTGTATTAATGTCAGTTGTGTGGACGCGTGGAAAGAGAAGTAAACTCGATAAAATGTGACAAGCTGGAATTGATAGACGTGGGCAGTGGAAAT